CAAAACTGTTACATCAAATGTTTTCACAAGAAAAAAACATTATAAAATGGATGTAAGTCTTCAGAATAGTGGCAAGGTGAAAGAACAATTTGAGAACAAAACAATTTTTGATCAGTAAAAGAATGTGCTTACATCGCTGCAGCTAGCTTTCCACAAGTCAGAATTTGGCTGAACTCCTGTAGCCTGAATCACTAAATCACAACCAACTATCTGACCATCAGTTAACTCGATATATAGGGGCCAATCGCCCTCACTAAACGGACTTTCTTTCGTCAGCGTTACCTTCTCAATGCTCTCCAAAAAACCCTTCATTTCAACATTGTAAATTACGTGAACTGAACGCTCCTGAAAAACACTCTATGAAACGTCTAAAGACAACTACAAAAACAAAACACTGACTTTTAAGGCACCGCTTATGTCAACTCCTACAGCCCAGTCAGGACCAAGAGCACAGCCGGCTACTCCGCTCTCTGTATTTCCGTCATCTTCAACCGTTATCCTGTACTGCTTTGATCCCGCAAAGCCCTTCCTTTTTTCATTAGTTTTCCCAGAAAACAACATGGGCTTGAAAAATTCTGCAGCTCCTTCGTCGAAAAAAGTAGCCGATATAGAAGAATGTCGTATAGCCCATATTATCTCAACGTTCTTAAGTTCATAACTGTAAACCAAATGAATATAGCAACATAAAAATATCAAAAAATTAACTCACTAGTCTTTTGCTGAAAAAAACAGCAAAAACGAAGATAAAAAAACGAACACAACTTCAGTGGCAATACCACCATTCCCAACAATGACAACACGTCTGGCATTTCTTATTTTCTTGCTTAGTCTTTCTACAGTTTCCGTATCTCGAATAGTAATTATTAAAGGATGCTTCCATTGAACCTAAAGAGCAACAACAAAACGTTTGGAGAGGTTATATTGCTTGCAAAAAGACAAAAAAGTGTTCTAGTTTAATACAAGACAAAACAGCAAAAACGTGTCGACTACGGTTCAAAACCGGAATAAAATTAGCTATAGGTAAAACAAACTTTTGGCCTTCCACCCGTACAAAGGCACAACTTGTTGTATGCAAAACTGCGACCGTTCTTCAGAAATAAAATCTACAATAGTGCCCAGTAAGGAAGGTTCAATCCGAAAGTAATATGACAATTCTGAATTAGAAAAGACAACGGTCAATTTATAAATCGAGTGACAAAACTATATCAACATAGAACATGATCACAAATGAAAAACAACATTACCTTATCTTTCCAATTCCAGCCCGTTACCTTTCCCTTTACAACTTTGATATTTTCTTCATCTGTAAAAGTCCTAGACATTGATTGTTCGGAAACATCAAAAGACTGTAGTAACTGTCCAATCTGAGGTTTGAGACGAGACAATGAAAACTCTTTGCTAACACAATTAATTCTGGGTTATTTAGACCAGTATAACAGAACTTCACCTTTACAATTAACTAGGTGCTATAAAGCAGTAAACCGAAAAAAGTGATATGTCAAATCCTATTTCAATGGATGACTTCAATGACTTCTGCTGAACGATGCCAGCAATAATAAGTTAAGAACGTCAGGTGAAGTGATGAAAACGACAATAAAAAAATAAAAGCTTACAGGAACATGATTCTTTACTACTTTAAGCAAAGGACTAGCTGAAATTAGGGTTATAGAGCCAAATTGATCGACATTTCTAAGCTCTTGGCAACAAGCAACGGCAGAAACTCCACCGCCGACAATCACATACATGGAATGTTCCATTGTGTCGATAAATGTCACAGAAACTGAAATAATTTTCTAACTCGACAGAGTGCAGGAAAACATGATCGACTGAGAGTGCGATATAAATGAAGAATAAAAGCAAGCTAACTGATTAGCTGAGCACATAAAGAAAAAAGCTGTTATTACTGTTGAAATTA